CAGGGTGGGGCTCCCCCGGGGCCCGATCCACCGCCGGCGGGGAACGGGCCTCTGGGGCGGGGGTTTCCCTGCCCCCCGGGGGGACTTGGCAAGCCTACCTTCAAAGCAGCCCTTTTCTCCAGGAGAGATGATCTCTGTCAGCTGGAGATCAGTTGTAAAAGGGAGAGATTCCCAGGCCCCACCTGGAGGCTGGCAACCCTATCATATTATGCACCTCCCAAGTTTGTATTTCCAAGCAAAGGAAATGTGAGTTTAGCCAGCAGGACTGGTCCAGTGGGGGAAGCACCTTTGCAGCAAGAGCTGGGGACAGCATTGCGCTGAGGCCCCACCTTGCTGCTGGGTTCCATGCCAATCAGGAAGCCAAGGAGCCAGCCCTTGTAACAGCCAGCTCCTGCCACAACTGCTAGTCCCCTGCTGATGACATCATCAGCCAGTGACAAAGACCCAGCAGCCTTCTCGTACACAATGGGGAATCTCTGGCAGCTGGCTAGAGCTCTCCGGTAAAGACTAATTGCAGACACCTGGACAAAGTGAAAGGAGAAGTGACACGCCCTGGCTGGGCCAGGCTAAAGGTCAGGAAGGATGGGGTAGGATTAGCCAAGCTCAAAAAGAGGATGGAGAACAGGCCAGGGGGAGGAAAGAAGGAGGAGGAGGAGGAGGAGATTGGATTTATACCCCGCCCTTCACTACCCAAAGGAGTCTCAGAGTGGCTTACAAACTCCTTTCCCTTCCCCTCCCCACAACAGACATCCTGTGAGGTAGGTGAGGCTGAGAGAGCTCTGAGAGAAACTGCTCTTTTCCAAGGACTGCTGTGCCAGAACTATGGCTTGCCCAAGGTCATCCAGCAGGTGCAAGTGGAGGAGTGGGGAATCAAACCCGGTTCTCCCAGATTAGAGTCCACGCACTTAACCACTACACCAAACCAAAGGTAGGGCTCCCACATCAGGCCAGAAAGGAGGAATGAGGAGATGCTGAGCCTGGTTTTAAGGCTGATCTCACTCTTAAGAAAGAGGACTGGGTGTAACATTCTGAGGCCTGGGAAGCCTCTCCAGGTAGACCACCACGGTGGAGGGTGGAAGAGGTAAACCAGCTGCAAGGGGTGCTCGCAAAGAGGGTGCCTGTAACATAAAGTTGAAAATGGTTGACTGGAATTGGATTTTTTATCCTTTAAGAACACACTGGGAAGCTATGGTATTAAAGCCATACATTGCAGAAGTTTTAGCCAGTCATTTCAACTTTTGCTTACTGTAGCCTAACACCAAAGCAGGCAAAAATGTAGTATTTCACAAGCCTCTTGTAACTAAAAGGTAAGCTACATGTAATAGAGCTATTGTTGGACTGTACCATATCAGACTGTCTGTGTATGGCAGGGGGGAAATGATTGCTCCCTCCATACCAGGGTTTCCAGGCCCCCAGTGCTCCCATTTGCTGCTGGCCCTCCCACCCCCCAAAATGGCCTTAGGCCAATAGCATGACATCTGGGTTTTCCTAGTGAGATCAGTGTTAGATCGCCGCTAACAAAGATCCAGAGAGTGATTTCAGCAAAAGTGAACCGCTTTATTGAAGGTACGAACAAGCGCTTGAAAGAAGTCATAACCAGAACAAGTTAACATTGGGAGATAGGCTCTTTTTAAACATTCCCGGGCTAACGTAGCCACGCCTCTGTACAATAAACAACCAATGAGGTTGAGTGGATAAAGTCCAATGAGAGTTCTTCCCTCGCAGGGACTAGGTGCAGTTCTGATTGGTCGCTGTTGAGGAGTGACCCAATAGCGAATTAGCTCGGAGGAGCCTTCCTCTGGCTCGAGCTTAACATGGGGAGTCAATGCGGCGATTCATGTACTACAGAATTTCCAGTGATTCCTAGAGAGGTGTGACATCACTTCTGGGTTTTTGTGGAAGTGATGTCATGCTGTTGCAAATGCCCCTTGGTCTCCTGCTTGTTGTTTGCTTGGCAACACTACTCTGTACATAGTGTTGAAAGTGAAGGATTTTTCACTGTCTCTTAGCCTCAGACTTCAGAGGGGGTATAAATCAGAGTCAGAGAGATAGGGAGGCCAGGACTCTGCTACCCTTCTTTTCTTCTACTCTGATGCTATCCCTTTGATGTGTTGATTGCTACTCTCAGGGACTCTTCCTTCCTCCCAGTGTGACACCTTCTCTTGACACTGTGCTAGCTTTCTCATCTTGGTACCATGAGTGCAGAACATACTTCCTGCATTGCTATCCATCCTAGCTACTTAGGCTAGATTAGAATCCTAAGTCTATCCTGTCTAGAATGGAGTTCCTTATAATAAAGGACTTATATCAGGTTTGCAAAGATAAAGAGGCTCTGTGTGTAACTGTGTTTCTTAGTAGCACACACAATCCAGATAGACTCTGCTACGTTATATGCCTTGAGCACTCTGCTAACCAAATAACCTTCACATAGAAAATTAGCATATAGGGGAGAGCTGTGTAGTTTAGCAATAGATACTTAACATAAGTTTGCTGGTCATTACTTTGGCTCTACAGCATTCCCTGAAACTGTCTGGGCAGTTCTTCTGAATATTCAATCCGTTCTCCATCCCCACTTCATTGTAGGACAGAGGCTTTATTTTTCCTCTTCCTGCAACAGCTCCTCCCTCATTTCTGGTTCCCACACTTTATTCCTGTCCAAACTTCCAGCTCTATGAACTGTGTCAAAAGTGAACAGTCTTCACAGATATTCTGGGTGCAAATGGAAGAAGAAACCATTTCACCATCTAGCTCTTTGGGTACAACTGTGGAGATAAGGCTGTGGTCCTCAAGCACACTTACTAGGAAGTAAGTCCCATTGAATGCAATAGAATTTACTTTTATATACAAATCCGTAGGATTCCACTGTAAGTTAAAAGATGTGGTGCTGGGCAGAAGGACGGGAAAATAGATCTGAAAGTTGTCAGAAGAACAAAACTATCCAAATCTATTGCTTTGAATAGCATCATGAAAAGACAGAAAAGTGTGTGTGGGGGAATCTAAGTCCTGTGCAGCCTCAGCTGTCAGCATCAGACATAAGAAAGAATTAATGAGAAGATAAAGAAGACATAATTGAAAGTGCCCTGACCTGGATAGCCCAGGCAAGCCTGATCTCATCAGATCTCGGAAGCTAAGCAGGGCCAACCCTGGCAAAGTGTTTGGATGGGAGACCTTCCGGGGAATACCAGGGCCGGGAGGCCAGAGGCAGGCTAACAAGCCACTTCTCTGAATGTCCTCCATACCCCAGTAGACGTTGCCAGAAGTCACCATGACTTCCAGGCATGGGCACACACACACGCATGCACACACACAGACACAAATGCAAAAATACCAAAAAAGAAGACATAACCAATGATCCCTCTAAGCTGTGGAGTCTTGTGAGCAAAAATTCTACTTTGTGAGCTACTGGCATTAAAGTTGTGAGTGAGCAATTTGGCTGCTGCATAAATTAGTTTGCTCTGGAGCCCTCCTTCCTAAGCTAAGACAAAAATCTGTGAGCTGGAGGCTAAAAACCTGTGAGCTAGCTCACACTAACTCAGCTTAGAGGGAACACTGGACATAACTGAAAATCAACTAGAGACAGACATGTTAGAAGTGCAAAGTAGGAAAGAGATCTGAGAAAGATAATATGTTTGATAGTGTCAGCCATTACAGAGCAAGAATGAAGACTGAGAAGAAGGGGACACTTAAAACTGCCAAGAGCAATTTCAATAGAGTACAGGCAGCAAAATCAAGATTTCAGCCCATTCACTTTAAGGCAATTACTTACTCTCTCACTTAGGCACATGTGCTGAAATAAGGAAATAAACAAAGAGCCACTGAAAGGAGAGCGAGGCAGCCGAATTGCGCATGTGTGCGCGTGCGCAGTTCGGCCGGGAGCCTTGATTGCTCCTGCAGACGAGCGCGCCGGCGATCTCACGGCCGCGCTGGCTGCGGTGCTTCAGGTAAATCCTACCAGTTAGTAGGTTCTTTTTTGCACCACATTTTTGTTCTGAAGGGACAGATCGGGAACGGGTGCACGCCGATTCCCAGATGTTGCAGTGGGATCGCGCCCATTTGCTGTGCCCCCGATCCGTCCCTCTTCTGGGCCAAAACCTCCCATGTGACCGGGGCCAAAGTATGTGGCTTGGGGCAAAAAAAATCTCTTCCCTGGAGTGGGCTTGTTGCGTGACTGCATGGTCCGTTCTGGTCTCTCACACATTGCTGCTGCCTTCAATATGGACTAGCAGGGTCAAGCAGGGAATAGAACAAAATGAAATTTCAGAGAAGTGGGGAATGCTGGACTGGAGATACAGTGAAGGTACATCTTGTCCCTCCCTCAAAGCCACGATATGGTTGTGCCCTTAGAAACTACTAAAACTATTAATTAAGCTACCACCGTTGCTGACAATTTTAGCAAAGATCTGATTCTACTGTAGAAAACTGGTTCCCAATTTTGTCCCAAAATTCTTTCCCCAAATTGTTCAAGTTCCGATTTCTTCACAGCTCCTTGTGCTTCAGAGTCTCTCCATCATAGAATAAGCAACAAGCAAGGAATCAGTAAAAATCCAGTCAACAAATGAAGCTTTCTTTTCTTAGAGAAGAACAAAACACTATTCTCTAGAATGCCAATAAGTCTGAATGAACGCATAGTCTCATTTGGGGATAAAACAAATAGACAAATTAATTGAGCTAGTAATAGGGACAATGTAAATTAAATACCAGCTTGCCCTAAGCGTCGTAAGTCAGTCGTGTCTTTTGTTGTGTCACCTAAATACAAAGGTGAGCTGGACTATAAAGCACAGTAATTGACATGATTAAATACACCTGGGATTGCATCCATTCTGCAAGGGACTCTCCAGTACATATGAAATCACATGGAAGCTGTTTGTATCAAGAAGCTGCCTAGAAGTAGTTCCACTGATTTCAATTATGCCAGCACAACTCCCATTTTACCAACCGGTTTTAATCACACCAAAAGCTACTAAATAGAAAACCAGGTGGATCCTATTTGTAAGACTTACCAGATACCTGGAAGAGGCAGGTTGCCACTCCGACATCATTGGAGATGCTGCATTCATAGTTGCCACTAGTCTCCCGGCTCACATTGTCCATCTTATATTCAGAGTACTCCTGTTGCTCTACAGGAGGCACAGTCAACAGACTTCCATTGATTCGCCAGACAGCTGTAGCCACTTTCATAGGGTTCCCCTTTAGCATGGAGCAGCGAAGGGTGACACTGCGGCCCAAGGCTTGCCGGATATCTAAGGAAACCGGTTCCACCACTGGAGGGACTAGAGGGCAAATGACAGAAGGACGTATGAAGAGAAATGGCCGTATTCAACACAATGTCAGTCCTAGTCCTTTTTACTTATTAGGAGTCTCATCCTATTGATTGCATTGACTTAAACTATGTAATCCGCCTTGAGTCTCAGTGAGAAAGGCAGGCTACAAAGTAAATAAATAAAATTGTATCACTTGTACTTGCATCCTACCTTATTCCATGAGCTCAAACAGGTTGCAGATATTTTAGCAAAAACAGTCTCAAAAGAGATCTCCAAGAATCCAACAGAAGTCTATAAAAGTACATTAACCAAGCATACAGGCACTTTTTAAAAAATCAGGGCTACCTAGAAAGGGGAGATGATTAATTAATTAATTACTATATGACTTGGCCTTCCTTATAGTCCAGTTTTTGCCAGGAAAAACATCAACAACCTCAGATATGCAGATAATACCACTCTAATGGCAGAAAGTGAAGAGGACCTCAAGAGCCACTTGCTCAGGGTGAAAGAGGAGAGCGCAAAAGGTGGCTTGAAACTCAGCATCTAAAAAACTAAGATCATGGTATCCGGCCCCATCACTCCTTTGCAAATAGAAGGGGAAGTCATGGAAGCAGTGACAGACTTCACATTCCTGGGATCCAAGATCACTGCAGGCGGTGACTGCAGCCATGAAATTAAAAGACGCCTGCTCCCTGGGAGGAAAGCGATGGCAAACCTAGATAGCATAATAAAAAGTAGAGACATCACCCTGCCAACAAAAGTCTGTATGGTCAAAGCAATGGTATTCCCAGTAGTAATCTATGGCTGCAAGATTTGGACTATAAGGAAGGCTGAGCGCCGAAGAATAGATGCTTTTGAATTATGGTGCTGGAGAAGACTCTTGAGAGTCCCTTGGACTGCAAGGAGATCAAATCAGTCAGTCCTAAAAGAAATCAACCCTGACTGTTCCCTGGAAGGCCACATAGTGAAGCTGAAGCTCAAATACTTTGGCCACCAAATGAGAAGGGAGCACTCACTGGAGAAGACCCTGATGCTGGGAAAGATTGAAGGTAAAAGAAGGAGGGGACGACAAATGATGAGATGGTTAGATGGTGTTATCCAGGGGTCGTTTCGTAGAAAAAGAGCTAGGGGAACTCATTAGCATAACTCATTAGCATATGCCACACCCCCTGACATCACCAGAAGTGTGTCATAAGGCCACACCCCCCGCCCCCAATGGTCCCGGCCGCCGGCGCCGGCCTTGCAGCTCCACTGCCGAGCCCCATGAGGGGCCCGGCGGTGGACCTGCAA